CGTGGCACACACAGACACTCTCCAGGAAACCCAGGCTGGGCCCCCAGACACCCTCTCTTCCTCCCCTCATACCTCCTCAAACTCCAGTTCAGAGCCCTCCACTCCAGGGAAGCCCCCTCCAATGTCCAGGAGGCTCATGTCATGCCCGACGCCACGGCCCATCTCGAACACCCGCCGGCAGTCGGCGATGGCCTGTGCGAAGCTGTGGGGATTCTGGCAGCCCGAGCCCACGTGGAAGCTGAGCACAGGTGCAGTGACAGGTGCAGAAACACACGAGGAAACGCAAGGGTCAGCAGGAGAGATACACATTCGGAAACAGCCACACAGGCACAATGTGAACCAGCACGGACACAGACATGGGGACATGCATGACTACATGGACCTCGTGGGCACCCACAGGAGCCACAGCCTTGACTGTGCACATGGGGACCCCAGAGACACACACCGCATGACAGTCCGTGAGCTGGGGCTCTCGTGGTTGTGTGGGCAGTCACCTCTCTTAGCTAGCCCTCCCCAAGCCTCGCGGCAGGGGCTCCCCTTCTTCTCCTCCTTGGAATGCAAGTGGTCTGAACCCCAAATCTCAAACCATCCACCAGGGGGCGCAGAGAAACCAATCAGGGGCAGGTGAGGTGAGTTGAGAGAGGACGCTCCTCAGGTGCAACATTCAAGGGGAAACCAAAGCACTGAGCAATCAACATAAGTAACCTTCATGCACTATCTTATATAATAAAGACGTAATATGAAAATTGAACATCATGCCCTCGCACAAGATGGCCGCCCCCATGTGGTCACAAGATGGCCACCACAAGAGGCCGGCAGAGGAGGGCAGTTGGGGGAGACTGGGCCAGCATGTGAGTGCAGTTGGGGGTGACCAGACTCACAGGGGAGGGCAGTTGGGGAAGACTGGGCTGGCAGGAGAGGGCAGTTATGGGTGATCAGGCTGGCAGTGGTGTGCAGTAGGGGGAGACCGTGCTAGCATGTGAGGGCAGTTGGGGGTGACCAGGACAGCAGGGGAGCAGTTAGGCATTGATCAGGCTGGCAGGGGAGTGGTTAGGGAGAGATCAGCCAGGCAGGCTGGTGAGCAGTTGGGAGCCAGAAGTTAGGGATTGTGAGAGGGATGTCTGACTGCCAGTTTAGGCCCGATCCCACAGGCAGTCAGACATCTCCCAAGGGGTCCCAGATTGGAGAGGGTGCAGGTTGTGCTGAGGGACACAACTGCTAGTGCACAAATTTTGTGCACCGGGACTCTCATCTATATATATTAGAGAGAGAGGAAGACCGAGTGAGAGAGAGAGAGAGAGACCAAACCTGCTGATGGAAAAATATCTATGATGAATAAAATATAAAAACTTTAAAGACAACATTAGTTAACAGTAATTGGATCCACAGGAAAAAGAAATATCAGCAATGCAAATTCTGTCTTGATTTAAAATTTCATATTCTCTCATCATGGACTTTTTCTGCATTAACTTTTTAAATACTGTATTGAACATTATTTATCTGGAATACAGAGTTTTCGGCATCCTGTTAAATTTGCACCCAAGGCCAGTGCCTGCCCACCCTCCCAGCGGCTGACACCCACCTCCTCTTCTGAGGACCACAGGGAGCCCCTTAGGCCCAGAGGGGCCACACTGACCCGAGGGCACTCAGAGGCTGCGGACAGGCGTGGGGACCAGGAGCCCTGCCTCGCAGGAGGGAGAGTCCGTGCTCTTACCTGGTGCCCACCACAGCCAGGCCTAGGTCTCGGGCGGACTTGAGCAAGTGTCCACACAGCTCCAGCCTGGCCCCAAACTTGGCGCTCATGGGAATGAGGCTCTGGCTGTCCTCGGTCCACAGTCGCAGGACCAGCCTGGGAGGGGGAGTGAGGTGACAGGCGTTCTTAGACACACGAACCCCAAGCCTGAATGCTTTGCTGCCCCCACCCAAACTCTCTCCAGCCTCCCTCCACCCCTGCCTCTGTTTTCTGGACTGTCCAGCCATGGAGATCCAGGGAGGGAACACACTACTTTTTTAATTTTTTAAGATATATTTGTATTGATTTCAGAGAGGAGGGGGCAGGGAGAGAGATAGAAACACCAATGATGAGAGAGAGCATTGATCGGCTGCCTCCTGTAAGACCTTACTGGAGGTCAAGCCTGCAACCGGGGCATGTGGCATTGACATGAATCTAACCCAGGACCCTTGAGTGCACAGACCTGACACTCTATCCACTGAAGCAAACCAGTTAGGACTACACTACTTCTGACAGACTTCAGCCCAGGCAAGAAAAAGCAGGAAAAGGATAAAATTATAAACATCCCTTCAGCAGACCTCCTGTCACAGGATCAGAGATGATAAATAACTTTCCCAAGAACACACGGATGTGACAAGTAAGTCAGAAATGTGACCCCTGGTCTTCCTGAATCCTATGAGTGAGTTTCCCACGAGGTTACTGACTCCAGACCTCCTAATGCCAGGCTCTGCCAGCGCCTCTGCAGACACAAGAAATCTTTGACAAGAGTGGGCACCAGGGAGGGCACCTGGGACACCTGGCACTGATTCTTGCTCTTTGCTGGTTGGGCATCCCCTAGTCACCACGGAACAGCCTTCATCTCCTTGCTGAGCCCAAGTCAGTTTGCCAGAACTCGTCCCTGTCCCCACCTGCCTGCAGCCCTGCTGGTCTCACCTGGCCCCAGGGTGGTGCTGGGCCACCTTGGTCAGCTCCTCCTCACTGTCGAAGGTCAGGAGCTGCACCCCATGGCGGGCAGCATACTGCAGGTGAGAGACGGGCTTGCAGGGGTGGGCATAGATGATGCGTGAGGGGGCCACGCCCAGGCCCAGCACCTGCTCTAGCTCCACCTGCTGGATGAGGAAGCTGGCTGCGGGCCCAAGCTCACCTGGCTGGCACAGTCAAAGCCGGTGCCCAGGGCAGCCAGGACACGCAGCACCAAGGGGCTGCTGTTACACTTCACCGCATAGAAGGGCGAGACCCTTGGCAGGGCCTGGCAGAAGGCCTGGTGGCGGCTGGCCAACACTCCCAGGTCGGCCACCATGAAGGGGTCTTGGTGGTCCTGCCAAGGCAGAGAGAGAGGCAATAAAGGCTGGGCATTGTGTCATTTCACTGAATCCTCACAGGGTCTCCATGCGGCAAGTACTGCTGTTACCCAGTTAGGAAAAGAGGAAACTGCGGCTCTAAAATCTCTTTTTATTTTTTTCCTTTTTCTTGAATACATTGTGATGACACTGGATAAAAAATTATACAAGTGTCAGGTGCACTACAATATGAATCTTTTTCTCAAGGTCAGTAGCAACTACATGGCAATGGTAG